GGGATGCATCGTCGCCGGTTTCGAAGGCGCCGTAGACGCTGTCTGTCCAGTCGGTTTCTACTATGTCGACGAAGTAGTATGCTAGGCCGCCTAGGGTGAGGAGTACAAGGACGGTTTTGGTTGGGAAGCGTGATTCTAGGAGTGTGGTTGTGGGGTCCTTGGCTGGTTGGTTCCATCGCGTGTTAGAGAGGGGAGTATCTTTTTCATTGGTTCTTGAACTCTCAGGATGGGTTGGTAGGAGTCTTGTCTGCGAGAGGGCACGTGATAACGGACTTGACAGAACGCGTCCTGTGTGTGGCCGTAAAGCACGGGTCGTCACCGCTAGTGGCCTCTGTAACCGCGTTTGAGGCTGTGCTTTACCGGCGCATTTGAGCCGTACGGCGCTTCCCAACCTTCTTGGAATCATTTTACCTTGAATGCTACCTGTATCGCAAGTTGGGTGAGATGTGTTCTGCTTCTCGCGCGTTGTGGAGCTTAGATTTGAGGGTCTGTGCACGCGCTAGTTTGATCGCCCTTTTACGTGGAGCAATCGGGCAGGTGCTTGGCACGAGAACAATGAGTCCAGAAAAGCATGCGCTGGCTTATAGTTGCAAGGCCTTTGTGGGATACAAGCTGTTTGATCGTGTCTGTGTGATCATTATAGATAGTTCTAGTGTGAAACCATCGCTCCATGGTCATCGGCAGTGGTGTCTACGAGTTTAGTGATGAAAAGATAGTTGCTAATAATAGGCTATGGTAAGGATTGGGTATCTTCGTTACTTGCTTGTGCAACTCATGAAAGCCATAAGGATCCAAAACGCCTCCCAAAACCAAAGGGAAACATCAAGTACGCCACGTATACGCCGACAAGAGTGATGTTGGTGGCCAGCAGCTCATTAATCTGACCGGACGAGTATAAGCAACGGTCTTGATGTGTAGTTCTGATACAGTTCCATCTTTCTTCGGACACCGATGCCTTGTATTAATTCCCGGATGCTTTCGTACGATACACCGACCAGGAATCGCAGCGTCCAGCCTCCTCCCCATCTCCGTGTGTAGCAATAGACGTCGGACTTTGAGATGCTCGAAACATTTGGTGTGAGGTGGAGGTCACATCTCTGTCCAGTGTACATCCTCTATGCGGTCTACCTCTTCGTACTCTCGCTTCTTCTTCTCCTTTTTCTTTGCGTTCGTGTTCTTACGCCGGAGCATCAACTTCATCTTGTTTGCCAGTTTTCCAAAGGCGGCCGCTGTGGGAGTGCTGGCTGTCGGCTGAGGTGATGTAACATCACCCTGTGGAATGTCTTCGCTCTTCGGGGGGAAATCTTGTTGTGATAGGCTTGCTAGCTTGATCGCGTGGGGGCGATTGACGTAGCTCGCCTGCTTAGTAGGGTGCGATGAAAGCGATGTCTGTGATGAAATCTCCTTGGCAGAGGAGACCGGTTCTTTGGACTGAGCTCTGACGGTGCTGGCTTTGGGCTTTGGTGGGGCCTTCACAGGCAGTGGTTGTAGCATGCGCCATACTGGCTCAGTAGGGCTGGAAGGTTCAGAAGACGAGGACATGGGACGGACTAGGACCACCGATGAGTCGTCCCACTGGTGGTCCATCCTTGGTGAGTAGGCTGGCGTCGACGGCTCCGAGTCGATGAAGGTGCCGAAAGACTTTGCTGACATTGGTGGGGGAGACATTGGTCCCAGGGATTGTGGTGTCATAGGAGTGTGTACAAGAGCTGGAGGAGGATAGCTCTTCGTGGACTTTGCGGAGAAACGATGTGGTCGTTCGGGTGACATTGTACGCGGCTGCTTTGGCAGCCCGTGAGTGGAGAGCGGTCTGTGGATGCTGGCACCCAATGAACCCGAGCCCAGGCTAGGCGACGGCACCGACAGTGTAGACATGTCTATGGGTGTGACAGTGCCAAGTTAGGGACAAGCTTTTCAATGAAGGTAGTAATCTTAAACCGCGGAGGCGTTGTGTGATAGTGCGAACGAGACGCACGATACGAAAAGAAGCGCGGGAAAGGCGGCGGCGAAGGATGTAAAAGAAGGCGGCACCCGTAGACACGTAAGTACCGAAAGGAGAGTATTGCGGCGTAGCAACGAGACCGGTCAACTGGGTAAATCAGACGGCAGAGGAGACCAAAGCTGCGCCCCCAAACGAAACAGAACGATAACAGAGGGCTGAAAGCGGTACAACCTATGATCTGCAGGCTACACTTTTGTTATATGAATGCACCACACACGCGTCATCCGCGCCGCGACGGTGCGTACCACACCGTTTACAGCTGACAGATCTATCTGCGCATTCCTGCTACTGAGGTGGCAATGTGGGACTACGCCCGTTGGTCTATACGCGTGTCAAGACTCGAGAGCCGCCTGTCCTGACCCCGCCGTCGCGACATGGCACGGAAAGCTCCTAAAGGATGAAGGACGTTGGATATGGGGCTAAGTAGGGCATGATTGGCGACCCAACTCGCGGGGGCGCTAAAGTTAGCGCTTCATTGGCTGACGGCGGACAACTTGCATCAACCACGCCGCAATTCATATAGAGCAGCGCCTGCAGGATAGGAAGTGCCAACAACGGGGACCCGGGGTGTGGACCAACATCGGGTGCTGTCCTGAACGGCTGGGATCTGCTGTCGTGGTTCGGTCTCGACGCAAGGCGGCTCACAGCCCCCATTCGCTCAACTTTGTTGCATGGTCTAGCAAATCAGCGCGACGAAGCACCTTTTCAGCTGAGCGCCTCGGGAACGAGAACTGGAGGAGCTTCAGGGCAGCGAACCATACACAAGAACGCCTTCTTCTTGTGGTCTGACATCAGGTCCGAGGAACTTACCTACACCTCGAAACGGGCAGCGGTCATGCTTAGGTGAAGGGGCTCGCAGGCGCCTAGAGCTAGGATCATGAGTTCGCTGATCAGAGTTGGCCCCCAAGGCCTGAGTGGTCGAAGGTCACGCCAAACCTGTCCTTCATGACGACCTAGAACTTAGGGCAGTGTCCGGCGCGTCTGGTGAAGGACGACTGCGCCGCAATATCGAGGATGTTGAAAAGTGGGTATAGCCCATCTTGCTCGCGGCAGAAACCGTTGTGCAGTGTTGTGTAACACCCATAAGCGCCGTGCGAGGTTGATCCATGCAGGCTACTGGTGGGAGTGTACGAATGCCATACCAGTTGTAGACACAGTCGTGCGTCAAAGAGCCTTTTTAGATTAACCCGATGCGCGTCCGTGAGGGGTCATGGTAAGCGATGAGATTGTTGCAGATTGCTCTTAGGCCGTTCGGGTAGTTGATAGGAAATGTTGCGTGTCGCAGTCATCGCAGGCCGCGGGACAGAAGCTCGGGCCGTCCGCAGGGTCAGGATCGCCGAGACGAGGTCCAAGAAGAAACCGCATGCAGGTGAAGCTTGACTGTCAACGGCTATTGACCGAGATAAGTCGATCCTACGTGTTGTTGCATCGGCCCTTTGAGCGGGGAGCAGGAACTTGGAAGACGCCCGCGGGCGGGTCGCCAAGGAACTTTCTGCGTCGGGACCACCCTCAACAGCCGCCATCAGACCCTCCCTTCCAGCTTGCACGTATGTCTCCATTGAACCTCATCTGACCATGCAACACTACTTGTTTGTCCGCGCATGACTTGCCCTTTGGATGCAGCCAACGCTGGGTGTGGGACGTCAACAGTGTTGGATTTGCACCTGATCGCCCTGCATACTGCCGTGAATTGGACCGTCTATCGCTGTTAATTCTCTCACCAGTGAGAACCACATGAAGGCTCGGAGCTTGCATCAGATGAAATGCGCTTGCTCTTAATCTCCTGGAATGAGACTGTGTGGACGTAGGTAAGATGAGCAAGACGAAGTCTAGGACGTCTCAGGAGCGAGGTTCCGTTTCGCATACTGTCTCCTTCCATCTTTGTGTCAACTATACTTCTTTCACAAGATGAGTGGCTTTTCCGTCGAATTTACCCTGGTCTTGTTGTCTCATGGGTGCCACCCCTCATGCCAGCACCAATTCGTTGACACTCATCATTCCCTGAACCCGATGTGAGGATTAATCTCATGCTCTGCGGTCAACCATACAGCTGGGCGACAACACAGTCGGTCATCTTCCAGACGACGGTTGTGTCACGTCCTTAGATTCCAACGCCAGTCATCCTGAAGTCCATAGTGTTCGGCCTTGTCTGAGCGCATTGCGAATTCGGATCATTGACAGCGAGTCCTCCGACATCGCAGGTCCTTACACGTCCGCTGAACATGCTTTACAACTGGACTCAGACTTCATGCAGCAAGTTGCCAGACTTTACGCTTCTCGTCATGTGCGAAGGTGAAAACAGCCCGCTCGAAGCAGTAAGTCTCTCCAAGACATGGCGGAGTTTGTCGAAAGATACTCAGCTGACTCTGAATATCCAGGCCAGCAAGAGACTCCTCGAGCTACACACTGAATGACGAAAATGCTGCCGTGCGGTCCGGTCGGATGGTCTCAACCATAATTCACAAGTCATACAAGAGCGCAGCTGGTCTCGTTGAAAGAGATGGATACGAAATCACGGAAGAAGAGTCAAAGGCATTCTTAGATGCCTACACTCCACCGGCATCTCGATGACTGAGGTGGTGCTACAACCCCAGAAGAGGACAAGAACAACACTTTCACCTTATCATGGAATCTTCATCTTGCATCGACTCACGTTCATCTCAAGTAAAATCTGTACTCCTTGAGCCTTCAGGGATGTTGTACGCGTGGTAGATCCTGACATCTTTCCCCCCTCTTTCAGACTTCCTCTATTGTCCGCTAATGGCCGCGCAATCGCTCAATTGGGACGTCACCCAGCAATATCGACTCCTCTTCACGCTCACATTCACCTTCACTTTTGACGTCAGTGCGCAAGCTACCTTTTGATCACTATCGCAGTTTGACAAACGCTGTCACGTCGTCTACGTACCAACACTTCGATATCCGCGTCTCTTTCTCGGCGACATCTCCATTCCCTTCCCTTTGAACGCACACGTATCCGCCGCGCCGAACTCAAAACATGGATTTCCCGCACGCGCAGATGCAAGCGACGCTGGCAGCGACCAACTTCTCGCCAAAATCAGTCCCGTCGCTATACCCTCAGCTTGCCAAGTCACAGAAGAATTTGCATCGCAAAGACAGCTTCGTTCCGAAACCTCCCAAAGTGCAGGAGAACACTAGCGATAATGGCGACGACCAAGGACAGCGCCAGGCTTTCCGCAAGAGTAGCATCAAGAACTTTGGCAGTCTCTTCGCGCGCAACCGCAGCAGTATCGCTAGTACTAGTCCATTGACGCAGGTCATGAGCTCCGAGTCCGAGGGCAGAGACACAAGCGTCGAGACCGAGCGCGCAAGTCAGCAGACCACACTCGTCAGCTCGGACATTCCTTCTCCTAGTAATCTCATGACTGTTGCCGAGAGAGAGAAAATCCGCGAGCGTCGTACGTACCCTCGACCTCCACTCCAACCCCAAACTAACAAGTCCATAGACCGAAAGTTTGTCAAGCTCCAAGGCCTCGGACACGACCACCCTACCGTCTTCACCGCCGACCCAGGTGACTACTCTCAGTATGACTACGACGATAGCGTCGATAATCGGCGGTTCAGAGACGAGTGTGGAGAATGCGAAGGCACACACGTCGCCCACGACCTTGCGAGTCCCACACCGAGCAGCCGCCACCGTCGCAACGAGTCCCTACACGTCAACCTCAGTCGAGAAGAAGTGAAGAAGTACGCCGACGAAGTCCGCAACATGACCATCGCAGACGTCCACCTCTCTCTCTTCGGCTACTGGATCAAAGAGAGCGACGAGCACTTCCAGGAAGCTAAGAAATATCTAAGGGAGTTGGGTCTCGATCGCGTGAGTCCCAAAGACATGTTATTCATCTGGAAACGAGAAGCTAATGTGAATACTGAATAGGGCTACAACCTCTCCCGCCTCAACAACTTCTGCCTCGAAGAACTCTGCCGCGACGTCCACGACATCCGCTCCTCGTACGCTAAGCCCACTTCACAAATCCTCCTCCATAGATGCGCACGCATTGGGAACTTGCGTTGTCCGGGCACTGCTTGGTGTCACGCAATGTTCTAGATGCCTCTGCCATGTCTCTCCTTACCCTCGTCTCACAACCACCTACCTTCTCGCCCATGTCTACTACTACTACTAGCAGCGTTTCATAACCATCCAGAATACCACCCATATTCTAGATACACATGTCATAGCTGCATTCACACATTACACAAACTAACATCTGCTTCTTACGTCTAGTGAATCCCGTACTACGATCCTCAAGCGACAAGCTGCCGCCGACTCCCCCACACATGGGGGCACTACGACGCCTACACGTTCTTTCTCGTCGCCAGTTAGTCCGCGGATCGACAAGTTGCCGCCTTCACTTCACCTTCAGCGAGAAAAAGTGATAGAATCACAAGCGTTGAGGTCGACATCCCTTGGTTCACCTGGTGGACGAGGCGATTACCCACCTAACAGTACGCTACATCCCCGTCAACCCCTCATAAACTTCATGTTGACTAACAACGTCAGCGCCCGACCGCCCTATGCCACTCGCGTTCCGCTCCCCCAGTTCACCCGTAGGTTTCTTGCCGTCGCCCTCGCACTCCTCTGTCTTCTCCTCGCCTGGTCCGCCGCCGGTAGGGGCTTCAGATGAGTTGTCTCTGCGACCGTCCTCGGTGACGTCGTATGATTCGTTCTACGATGAGACGACAGACTGGAATATCAGCGTTGCGGGCATCTATCAGCAGGTGGTTGAATTGGAGGATGTGGGTCAGATCGATAGGATTATTTCTGATCTGGAGAACATGAAGGCGTTGTACTCTGAGGAGACCTGAAAGCGTGTATGGGGTCAAGGTATGAGGAAATGTGGGTTATTTCGGTGCATCGTCAGGATAGGTTTAGATTGTGGAAATGATCTGAATACCTCCTATCTACTACATCACTCAGGCATTCATGACATGAGTATACAGTTGTTGGTGGTAGTATGTATATGCAAAGAAGCGGTAGGTAGGGGTAAAAAAGCGAACACCTGCATGTCTTCCGACGCACCGACCACGCTTAACACCCATTACCGAGCGCATACAACAACGCAGTCAGACGTCTTCTCCGGGCTAGCAGCAATGACGACCAAATCTCAATAAGCATATCAGCGTACAAACTATACCAACATGTACACACGCAGGGTAGCTAGAGGCGCAAAAGCTTATAACCTCATAATGAGACACCAGAAACAGCGAAGCTACGTCAAAAAAAAAGGTTCGACGTATACGACTTCCGGAACGGGATAGATGCCGAGGGTACCGAGTAGTTCGGTACCTACATGGGCAGTACCATACACACTGCACTTTCTCAGTGGCTTGAAATGCCTGCTGTCAATCGTCCAACAAGGTACTTGGCATGCAGACGATAAAATGCCCGACGTCAGAGCCGCAACTACACTGAGAACTTGAGGACATCAATTGCAGTTCCGGATTAAGATAGCTAGAGACGACGCTGTCCGAGTCTCTGAAGTCTATAGTATCTCTCATCATTTCAAACCCACCTCCCTTCTCTCTCCGCCCATCATGGCGACACAAGCATTCGACCCCTCCAACGTCGACCTCACGACAGCCGATAAAGCCGAAGTAATCTGCTACTTCACCGTGGGCGAAAACGAATACAACGGCATGCTCGGCGCAAGAATATCGTCCATCTTCGTCATCGGCTTCGTCTCAACCCTCGTAACCTACTTCCCCGTCATCGCGCGCAAGAAACCATCTTGGAAGATTCCGCTCGGGCTCTACACCTTTGCGCGCTTCTTCGGTTCGGGAGTCATTGTCGCAACAGCATTTATCCACCTGCTAGATCCGGCGTACGAAGCAATAGGCCCGGGGAGTTGTGTGGGAGAAAGCGGAGCATGGGCGGAGTATCCATGGTGTGCAGCCATAGTGCTGACGTCCATCATGGCAGTGTTCTGCGTAGATCTAGGAGCAGAAGTATATGTCGAACGGCATTTTGGAGTGAAGAAAGAAGAGAGCGAGGTTTCCAACAACGCGTTTCTTCGCTGTGACTACAATGCCACCACCGGAGTCGCACCAGTAGCCATGGTGGACCCAGAATCCGGTAATAACCCAACTCAAGACCACCAAAACGGGGATCAAGACCACCACCGGAAACACACAGCAAGCCTTCGCAGCTACCACTCCGAAGCCTCCCTATGCACCACCTCAACAGCAGCCCGCCTCTCCTTCGCGCAGCAAATCGGCGCCTTCCTCGTCCTCGAATTCGGAATCATATTCCACTCCGTCATCATCGGCCTGAACCTCGGCGTCGTCGGCGACGAGTTCAGTACTCTCTATCCGGTTCTAGTGTTTCATCAGTCCTTCGAAGGGTTGGGAATTGGGGCCCGCTTATCTAGTATCTCATTTCCGTGCGGCAAGACCTGGATGCCGTGGGCGCTTTGCGCCTTGTATGGGCTCACGACGCCGCTGGCTATTGCCGTGGGGCTGGGCGTGAGGACGACATATCTGCCGGAGAGCAAGGTCAGTTTGATGGTGCAGGGCGTGTTGAATGCGGTTAGTGCGGGGTTTCTGATATATAGTGGGCTGGTGGAGCTGTTGGCTAAGGACTTTTTGTTTGATAGAGAGAGGACGAAGGATTTGGGCAGACTGGGGTTGATGGTTGGGTATGTGTTTTTTGGGGCGGCGATTATGGCGCTGATTGGGTGGTGGGCTTGATGGAGGGGTGGTGATGTAAAATGTAGATTCATGGAACGGATGCATGAAGGTACATCGGCTAATGCATTGTTGATCGTAGCTACTTGTCGCAACCGCCCAGCAGAACACATTATAACTATTTTGAACGAGCAGAGATACATGTGCTCTATCGGATCAACAAGCCCCTTGACTTCAGGTCCATTCCCTTTTCTCTCTCTTGACAAACAGTAAGTTTCGTCACTACTGGCGCCTGCTGTGAAGTAGGACTTCGAGTGAACATACTCAGATCCGGTCTTTGCTCCTCACTTGGTGGAGGAGGCCGAGGAGGTCTTCTAGCGGAACGTGCGGGTATCGGTGTATCTGGCAGCAGTATATCCTCATTCAGTGAGTGCCTGGAACCTGCCGGCGAATTGGGTGTCGACATGCTCGCTTGTATAGCAAGCAGGGGTTCTCGTATGATCGGTGGTGGGAACGACTTGTATGATTCATAGGGCGTGCCGCCGATGGTGATGCTACCAGACCAGTTTTTCGAGTGTCTTGATTTGGGTTTGAGGGCTGGTGATTGGGCTGCTTGGAAGCCAGAGTATGGCTTGAGGCAGAGACTGCAAACGATGAGAACGGCTAGTGTCGTCTGGCCTTGTGTGACCACAGCGTAGGGCAAAGAGTCGAAAGCGGGGTCTCCATTGCGATCGTATGCTTGTCGAAGATAGACCAGACGAATGATTGATGCTGCAACCAAGCTACACGGGACGTCAGCAGGGCCTCAGCTGAGTATTAGATCCTTTGCTTACATGAAGCGCATGGACAACAGTAGTGTCGCCAAGGCCTTTTGACGGTAGGATTCCCGCAGTGTCCATATGTGATGTACCGAGAGAGTGATCACAGCTGTTTCTAGAACAGTATCCGTGATGGTGGCAATCATCCAGAAAGGTATCTGTACTATACTTAGAACAAATTCAGTCATGGTGTGTTAATCGGACTTACCAAGGGGATACACTTCCCCGTCCACACCAGCCACGGCGTCGGTAGCTCACACTGAAAGACCATGCCTGCCAAAACTGCAATGGTCCATATCAAGACCACTGTACTAACTAGTAGAACGCTTGCCCTGCGTAGTGTGCTATCTGCTAGATGATAGAGGAACAGTAGGACCGAGCTTTTGGCGATGCTTATTGTCAAAACGAAGAGTATCGTCGTAACATAAAGCTTGAGTTGGATTTGCTCCAAGTCATCATCGCTGAGGAGACAGTCCCTCTTCCCCAGGCCCGAATCAACAGCCGTGGATATTATCACGGTGCTTCCAAGGGCAAAGACCGATGCGGTAACGATAATGACATCATCAGTCGACGAGAGATGGCGAAGGTGTTCAGATCTGTATCGAGCGACGACTCGTGCTACAGTGCATATAGCCTATGACAATGATCAGCATTGAGATGGATATCCAGATGGAATTCATACCAATAGGCAAGCAAGAAACCAAGCTACCATTACCAGAATAGTACCATGATTCTGAGCTGAAATGAGCGCATTCTCATGCTGGGCTTGTTCGCACATCGTGTCTTGCGCGGTTCGGAGATTGCATTGAAATGAGCCTTGATGAATCTTTATCGAAATAGCATGTGGGCGGCTACGAGGGGATGAATAGGGTCAGATGTTCTCGAACTTCGGACAAGCTGCATACGCTGTTCGTAATGCTCCCTTAAAGTCCGAGTCACCAGGACTACGCGTCTTGCATGTCATGCGAATGATTGCCTTTTGTCGCGGCAGAGACGATGAGGGGTTCGTATAGTTTCGTCTAGAGAACCACAAATAGAAGCGGAAGGGATGTGAGTCGCGATCCGCAGCGAATCGTAGAACAACATGACGGCAGTGGGCGGGATTCGATGCTGATCGGTCGCACGCGTGCCTGCATCTAGGCTAGACGGCCGTCGTGGAGCTGAGCCCAGGTCCGTAGTGTTGGGATGAAGGATGGCGCCACAGTGATACGGGGATGTTGTACATGCCGGAGCGCTGCCAACCCGCAGATGGTGGCAGCTGAGGTTAGATGATAGCGTTTCAGGACAGGTTTGGGGTTGTGAAAAAGCAATACTCTCTCGTATACCTTGACATGCCTGTGGCAATCGCTTCTATGACATGTTCTACTGGAGTGAACCCTGCAAGAAACAAAACGAGGGGAAATCATACCATCGTAGTGCATCATAGGTGATCACAACGAGGATCGTTATGCGACAGACAGCCAATAGTTGGTGGTCGGGAACGGGCCGCACCTAGCCAAGTCCGATATGCTGCAATCTCATCGGAGTGTTCAATAAAGCAGTCCTGCCCCAGGATGAAGCATGACCAGATGACTCCGCTGCGAGAAGAACTGCTGCTTGCTGTTTGGTGCGGAGTCCGACTCGCCGTTGGTGGCGTCGAGTGAGGCAGCTCTTTCGGACTTCATCCTGGCGGGAATGAACGCGTTGCCTCAAGCACCACGAGCGTGTACATGATGGCAGGAAGTCTGTGGAGAGTGAAACACATGACTTAGCCCGGTAGATGCGGCAAGAATGAGCAAAGGGGCACGATGAGGAGCCGTGGTAGCTCACTGAGGCGATGTGCCCGTTGGACCATGTCGGAGAAGGTCACACAGTTGCAGTTGCGTATGAAGTCGTGAATCTCTTTTAGCCGCGAAGTTACATCCGGATGGAGGGTTGTGAGACGGAAGCCGAGTTGTACGTCTGTGAAGGTCGCACGGGCCGGGTGGTTGACGTCGGCACTTGTCGTTATCGATAAGAACTTTTGCGCAGGAGCGTTCCACCAACTCTATGCGACAGGAACTCTCTACGATTCCTCACACCCAAAACAGCCATGGTATGTTATCCCGGTCGCGTACGAATGGTGTAAGCATGCTAATCCTATCTCCAGGCGCCTATAAAGAAGCGCACAACAGCGCGCGCAAAGTCCGCTCGCGCCGCCCGTCCCACGACTACCACTGCAACTCTCCCAAAGCCCGACGGCATCCCCTCGTACCCTTCCTCCAAGCGCGACAAGCTAAAGATCAAACACTCCTCGTTTGTATCCAAAATCGAAAAGTCCTCTGCCAAGACCCAAAAACGGCGACGCCCCAATAACAAGCTCATCGCAAACCTCGAGTCGCTCGCCGACGCCCTGCCAGAGTCTGGGGAAGATGGGCTCGAAACAAGTCAAGCGCGGATAGTGCAACCCCAGAAGATGCCCGATAGCATGAAGAAAACAAAGGGTGCGAAGAAGCGGAAAGAGAAGCTGGAGAAGTTGGAGAAGGAGAGGTTCAATGCGAATCTGGCACAGCTTGTGGGCGGGAGTGGGAAAGGGGCACAGGGCGCTGATGCAGTACAAGATCGCTGGGCGGCGCTCAAGAGTCATGTGCAGAGTAACATGCAGACGAAGCCTGAGTTCGCACAGCAGTGAAAGTCAGGCGTCTGAGACACAACGATAGAAACCTCACCAATGGCTCAGTGGAGCGGATTGGCAGGCGAGGAACACTGAAGAGATACCCGCGGAACCATGGACGCATTGGCAGGAAGTAGGCCAGGCATTCTGACCAGGCACGAAATTCCCATCCGTGTCTGCATCGTCCAGATTAGGCGCCCTACTCTCCCGCATTTCAAAGCTTTACAGCACCGACAGTCCGAGTCGATGTCAGCATGATCACAAAATCTCCCATCAATCGATTTAACGTGGGCAATGATGTGGCAACAACACGGCAGCCCAGCATCGCGCTGTGTAATGCGTGGCGGAAACTTTCCGTAGGATCATGATCGCTTAATCATCGACTCTTGTGCATAGCAGCCACCTCCCTTGAGCCCTACACCAACATATAGCAGTAAGCAGCCATGCAAATGTATAATAGTCCATGAAATCCATTCTCTGGCACACCTTACACTGCATCTCCATACAGTGATCCACAATGAACGAAGCCGCAATCCTCACATCCCCAAACTCCCCTCTCACATTACAGACCCTTCCCATCCCCACACCTTCCGCCTACGAACTCCTAATCCAAGTCTCCCTCATCGGCATCAACGCCATTGAAGCTAAGATAGCCAAACGTGGCACTCCACCCGCGCCTTCCTATCCCTTCATCCTAGGCTCTTCTTACACGGGTACGATCGCTGCCATCGGTTCCTCAGTCACGAAATACAAAGTTGGGGAACGCGTTCTCGTTAACAAGAGATTCGGTACACAGGGCAACGAGTATGGCGCGTATCAACACTACGTCCTCGTTGCTGCACGGGAGAAGATGGTAGTCAGACTACCGGAAGACATGAACAAAGATGGCGAAGCAGCGTTGGTAGCATTGATCATGAACGCGAGTTGTGTCACCGGTCTCTTCTCTGGGCGGTTGGGATTGCACAAGCCAGGTGATGACGTCCCAGAAGAAGGAGAAGGAGAAAGAGAAAAGATATTGATATACGGCGGAAGTTCCAGTTTCGGTCGTTTAGCAGTACAGTACCTCAGATGCGCAGGGTACGATGTTACCACAACGTCTTCACCACAGCACATGGGTACCGTGCGTGAGCTCAGCGGGAGTGGAACTCACGTCGTCGACCATACGCAACCACCCGAAAGAGTACTCGCAGAGATCAAGGCGCATGTACCATACGATGTCGTCGTGGACATGATATCCACTCCCGAAACCATCACCCTCGCAAGCCGCGTTCTGTCAGCGCAAGGCGGAGGCAAAGTCTTTGCTACGCAACCTGCTTTCAGTCCTGAGAGCTTGCCAGAGGGTGTAGAGAGGGTGTTTGAACCGTGGTCAGACTCGTTGTACGAGGAGGGGAATGAAGGATTGATGGAATGGGTTGTGGGGACGTATCTACCGTTTGGCATGGAGAAGGGGTGGATTAGTGCGCAGGAGGTTGAGATGGTGCTGGGGTTGGAGGGTGTTGATGCTGTTTTAGACAAGATGGTGGAAGGATATGGGGGTGGCAAGAGGTATGTTGTTAATATTGGTGGGTAAGATGTTTGACCAGGAATTCCGATTCCGACTCAGTGCTCTTATCCACATTACGTGTTTGGAAGTACAACCTCAGTAATCCGGAAACTCAGTATCAACCGTACTTCTCCACGCCTGCAGCCCTCCCTTGATATCACCAATATACCTCTTCCCGCCCGCATCGAGTCCAAGCTCTTTCATCTTCTTAACAGTAACCTGCGAGTCATTGCCCAATCTACACACAACAAAGATGGGTTTCTCGGATTGCCGCAGCATCTTGGTCCAGTCCTCTTCTTCGACGGCAGAGGTAGGTCCCCGGGTGGCTGAGACCGTAGAGAACGGCACGTTGATGCTACCGTCGATGTTACACAACTCAAACTGTACCTTCTCACGGACGTCAACTAGCAAGTGGCTTTCTTTCTTCGATACTGTGCCCGTGAAAGGATTGATACCGGATCGTAATTGTGCGTAGTTCTTCGCTGATATACGTTCTTCAGGGGCCAGTGGATTGTTATCTGGAAGTAAACTGCCGCAGAACTGAACGTAGTCCAGACTCCCCGACTCTAGCGCTTCTGCACTAATCGTCGCGTGCGTCGAACAAGCAGCACATTTCGCTTTCCGGCTCCTGAGCCGTATAGACCGGAACATGGGATTCGAGTAAGCCGAGAAGAGGAGAAGGCTCGGTGGATCTGCGGGTGTGGTGGTGGGTTTGTGGGTGAGGACTTTGATCGCTTCGAGTGCTTGCAAGACGCCCATTACGCCAACGACCGGTCCTAGGATGCCACCGTCGCCGCATGAGACGACGGATTCGGGGGGTGGGGGTTTGGGGAAGACGCATCGGTAACAGGGGCCTCCGTTGGGATCGCCGGCTGGTAAGGGTGGGTTGTTCAGGACCATCATTTGGCCGTCTATGCGGAGGGCTGATGCAGAGACGAGCGTCTTGCCTAGGAGGACACATGTATCGGAGATCAGGTAGCGTGACGCGGGAGTGTCTGTGCAATCTAGAACCAAGTCGTACTGTTTGAATGTTGAAATCGCAGTCTCTGGGCTAAGTCGCGATGTGTGAGGGACGAGTGTAACATTAGGGTTGAGCCTAGTCTAGTAGGTTAGCTGGGTTTCCCGTAGTACAGATTGATGGGTAGACGCACGACTTCAAAGACACCATCGCGCTCTCGACTTTGGTCATTCCAACTCTGGCTGTAGAATGTAAGATTTGTCGGTGTAGATTCGACTCTTCTACCACGTCGCCATCCACTAGTCCAACGGTACCAACTCCTGCTCCGACCAGGTATGCAGCAGCTGGGCAACCGAGACCGCCCACACCTACGATGAGTACACGGGCATCTTTCAAGCGAAGCTGACCTAAGGAACCCGAGCTCAGCACCATTCTGAATGCTCTTATTCAAGACCAGACTTACCTTTCAGACCGATCTCAGGCATGATCAGCTGCCTTCCATATCTCTTGTACTCGTTCTTCTCCAATGGCCATTGTGGCGCATCTTCAGCTACAGCGCTTGCGGCTTCCGGCGCCGTTTGCTCTTGCTGAAGGATAGAAAAGATCTCGTCGCGAAACTGATCCGGGACTCCAAAATTCATGTCATGATCCATGGGGTTTACAGGATCAGTTGCTAGTCGCCTTTTTTGCGGCACAATCTTGCCCTGCTCGCGTTGAATGTGCTCCGCTTCCGCGAGCTGTTGGCGCAGATCTTTGAGTGTGGCTTCGCATGTTGCAATTTGCTTGCGCAATGCGCTGATAACCGAAGTCATGTTGGTGTTTGCCAGGCGAGTTGCCTACATCGTGACTCTGGCACGTCTGGGATGCTTGTGGCAGCCCGATGTGGGGCCGGGTCGTCGCTACCACATGCAGTCCCGCAACGCTAGTGTCGATTTTGCTGGTAAAGGCACGTGCGCTGTGCCCTTCACGCAGACACGACGCGTAGGTCTCGTGGTAATAGTGAGTAAGACGGGACTTACGAAAGTCACGTTTAGTGAACAAGATTATGAATATCGAGTTCCACCGATCGACGAACGCCCTATGTCCTGGAACAGAACTTTATGAGCCTACGTGACGATGATACGCGTAATGGAGTATGTAGTCGGCACGCTATAGGTCACTACGAGATGGCACTTCGCGGTGCGCAACTTCATCCTTCAAGCCTCCACGACTTTAGGCAGCATCTTCTCGTGATGTTGGCTTCGCCTTTAGCATGCTTGGGCGTACAGCCTCTAGCGACCATTTGAACATAGGGAGCTCTTAAGGCAGCGGTTGACGCACATTTCACATCGTTGGCCCGGGCTATCAGACCGCAGACCGAATGGCGAGGCAGAGTCGTGAAGGCTTGCATATAAGGCGGTTGAAGTGGCTCATGGATGTAGATGGACTCGATTTGGCGGGCCCTAGCCTGACCACCCTTTCGAAGCTCAAGTGATGACACGCAGCGGAAGATTGCAGGTTGACCTTTTCATTGGCTTTATATCGTTGATGCATACATCTTTGCGCGAATGTGATTCTGCCAATCTTTTGAGCAGGTGCAGGCATGCAGGTGTCGCCGTCCTTTCGCGACCGATCGGTAGTCGAGGCAGCCGAAAGACGATTGACGAATCTGACATGCTGATGGGAGACCGGTGGATAGATTATATATGGAAGGATGACTCGCCGGATTTGGAAATATGATGCAAGTCAGAAAAGTTCCGTAGGAACGATTGGTTGTATGAGACGGCTTTCGAGGCGGAAAGCAGGGCGTTTTCCATGGCTGCCATCACCCTGCGCTGGTGTCTGAAAGCAGGCTGAACAACGTCGGTGTGGCAATACGGCTCTGCTGATGCCGGATGGCTTGGATATGAAGACCTCTCATGGCTGCTGTCAGGTGAGGATCTAGATGTCACTTCTGCTAAATGCAGCCCTTGGCCGAACAATGGCTCAGCTCGTGTTTCATCGTGAATACTCCTGGTAGGCTAGCAGCTCGAAAAAAGCATTGCGTTGACGAATGATTGAACAATCGGGCTGAAGCACGTTGACCCGGATCTGCGGGCGCGAGGGTCGTGTTCACGGGAGAAGCACCGAATGAGCGGCACCTAGGCATTCGTCGCGATCCATTCGTTACCAAGGTTCAGTGGGCGCAGGATAGATGTCAGCATGCACCAGCTTGGATGATATCGCCATGCGCGGTGCCCGATGATCTGTGCTGCAGGCCTTCGAACGAGGGGCGAGACAAGGCGGCGATAGGTCGCCGAATACTTATCTTTCTGCAAATGATAATCGTAGGTAGCCTTGGCGCAGTGCGACGAGAGATCCTTGTGCTTTGGAAGCTGGGCGTCCCCACAAGAGCGGGAGAGGTTCACTGTTCGTAGGATTAGTGGCGCCTCCACTTTTTGGGTTTGGTTCAGAGCTGACCTTCCACCTTAGGCCGTCGAATGGTCTGGAAGCCGCATGCAAATGTCAGCTGCTGCTACTGGCTTCGTGGGCCAGCATTTTCACTAGTAGCGACTGCTTAAGGGGTTTCAATTGACGTATACCTGGTCAGTGTGCCATCTCCCTAACACTGTCCTGCCGCCCCGCGGAACAACGGGAACGAACCTCAGCACCCCGCACCGTCGTCATATCCATCACCCATTTTCAACCACTCCACGACGCCATGGTATCTGTTTGCGCGACATGTAAAGGTCTCCAGAAGCACCTCCATGGATCGGACAGCGTGCAAGAGAATGGGCCAGATTCCCTCGTTTGGGTCGACACGACGCTGCCAAACCTGAGGTCGAGATCAAGTTCCTGCCGCGCGTGCGCGCTCCTCCTCAATGGCATCCTCCTACACCACGACCGGTTCCCAAACATCAACGAAGACAACGTGAGAGTGAAGGCAGAAACATTCAGGCCAAAGAATGGAAAAGTTCCCCAAGAACATCTTTCCGTCGAGCTCCGATGGAAAGACAACGACGACCATGACGATTGCCACGAGGACGAACATGAACATGCGGCAGGCCATCCAGATTTGAAACTCGAGTTCTTCACCGATGGAGGTATGCCAAACTTTCTTCCGACGTGCTTCAGCTGGTGTAATGATGGTTGCGGTCGTGGAACGGCTACCTACTGCTAGCTCATTCGCTCTGCAGGAACGCGTGGACTGACAACACCGCAGACGGCCAGTCTCCTTTCTCCGCCATTGGGCGCGGAAAACATGTGACAGATAATCCACTACAAAGTACTGGTTTAGCAACAGTGCGAGGCTTGATAAAGACTTGCCTAGAGAACCATGTTACATGCAGTCGCCGAGGTAAACCGACCACACTACCGAAGCGCGTTCTAGATTTACTGTCGCGCGACGACTCCAAGAGCATGCGCTTGCACGAAAGTGAATACATCCAAGACGAGCGAAGATACGAACACGGCGAATACATCGCCCTGAGCCACGTCTGGGGACTGGCCAAAGGGATCCCGAAGACGACTTTGGCAAATCTGCAATCACACAAGAAGAGCATTCCATGGTCAACATTGCCAAGAGCATACCAAGAGGCCGTCTTCCTCACCCGAGCGCTTGGCTTCCGCTGGCTGTTTATCGATAGTCTGTGCCTGATACAAGATGACGTCCAGGAGAAGCTTGAAGACTCGCTCAAGATGGATGAGATCTTCGGCAACGCCTTCTTGACAATTGCGGCGACCTCCGCATCCGACAGCAGTACCCAACCCCTCTTTCCTCCCAAAACACAGCCATTCAAGATCCAAGCAACGGACAACAAAGGCTCGCTACATAAGATCAACGTGCGGGAGCAGCCGACTCATTACAGTTTCAAGGCGCCTTTTGACGGAAATGCTCACATGAACGAGTGGGAGCTACCCTTCAACATGACCGAAGAAGCAAATCTACACACGCCCCTCTTGATTCGCGCATGGCCGTACGCCGAACGCCTACTTTCGCCGAGAGTGCTGCACTTCACCAAGAGCGAGATGATTCTAGAATGCCGAGAAGGCTACCAATGCGAATGCGGGCGTATCGACGACAATACATATGACACGCGGCCATGCGACCAGGTCAAGCAAGAGTTTGGCAGAGTCCTCTACGAAACAGCAAACAGGCCACAACAAGCCAACAGCAACGGAAACATGGGCCACACCCGTATGGACAGCATGACAAACCAACTGGCCTCTACAAACCTCACGAACGGTGCTCAACAAGAGCTCTTACGCAGACGCGAAGAAACACTCCAACTATGGTCCTACATTATAACCGAATACACCGCCCGCCACCTCACCTACGACAGCGACCGCCTGATAGCAATAGCAAGCATCGCCAAAGCCCTCTCTCCAACCCTCCAATCAGGCTACATAGCCGGGCAATGGACCTTCAGCACCCTCGGCCTCCTCTGGTATCCCAACGACAGCTCACGCTGCCGGCGCCCGAAACTAGCCCAAGGACAAAACGTGCCGAGTTGGTCATGGGCCTCCGTCGAAGGCTCCCCCATCTTCTTCGACAACACAAGCGCCATGGACCTCGCGTGCCGCGCTTCCTTCGGTCCAAAAGGCAAGCGTGCAAGTGCCTGGTCACCCATCATGGGCGAGCCCCTCGAACTCTCAGGTGCCATGGCCGCAGAAGTCGTGTTCCACTCGTCTCCACCTTCTTCATCTGCATCGCCAGACGCACCACCCTCGTATACCTTGGCTAAAAACGGCATGACCGTTGACTTTACCCCCGACGTCGTCCCTCCCCGCGGCGAAGACGCGCTGCAAGACGGCGAAACCCTCGTTTGCGTCCTCGTCAGCATGACATTCCGTTCTTCCATAGTAGGTATTGTGCTCAAGTCTTCGTCTTCGGCGGGGAATAACACGTATCGTCGTGTCGGCAGACTGGAATGCTATGAGTGTACGCCTGAGGGGACGGAACAGGAGATGAGTGAGGATGCGGAGGCGCTGTTTGAACACTGGTTCCCTGAGATCCAGGACATGACGCAGTTGGATAATTATCCGCAGAGGACTTTTACTGTTGTTTGAAGTACCTGGGTGTTGTTGGGAGGAGGATGGAACTCGTCATGTGGAGTGAGTGGAGGTGGCTGGGCTTTCGTTCGTGCTTTGTATATTCGATACCCCCTTTGCTACTAGCATCTTGCGGTAGTACTTTCGTTGTTGGTGTTGCGTTGTGGTCGGGACGCGGGAGAAGGTTGGTAGCTGGTGTTTCTACAGTTGCATATATCAGGTATCGACGAAACACATTCCAATTGATTTCGAATGAACATCAATGCGCACAGGCATCTCGAATGTATAACGAGACCTCAGTTCACGAGCTACAATCCATCAATCCACCTTCACCAAATTCACCCTCCAACCAAGTAACTCCACACTCCCAACCTTCCCACTTTCAGCATCTACATGGAACACAAACGTGTCAAGCGGCTCCCCCACATACCTCGCCCAATCCCCATTGTTCCAACTCATACATTCCAGCCCGGCCCACAGTTTCTTCGCCGGCCTGATTTGATCAGGCAGCATCCTCCAATTCTCGCTTTGCGTACCCAGAGAATCTGGATCAGTTGGGTACAACCTCACGCTAAAGTTGTCCAACGGGACATTCTGCTTCATAGCCAAAGCAGCAATGATGTCAGCGCCATTGACGCTCAGCGCCTCGATAGCCAAACCCGGACCCGCCGTCGAAGACAAAACGAGCGTGTCGTTCGAAGACGCCATCTCAAGCACATACCTCCTAGCGTACTTCCTCTCCGCCTGCTGACGTGCTAGCTCATCCGCCCACGGCACCAACGCACTTACAATTATATCCAGCAGCTCAACACTCGAATAACTCGTCTCGCCCCCTGCCGCATTAATCGTGATACTGATATCGTATTCCGGGATCAGCACAAGATAACTCCCATACCCCGGTACACCACCCGATTTCGTATACACATCGATCGCGCGCGGAAACTCGAGCGGAAGGTCGTCGATACGGAAGATCTCCCATGCTACACCGACGTATTGGTGGAGAGACCGGAGGAAGGTGGTGGGCTGCATCCACTTCCTCAATGCTACTTTGCTGAGTAGCTCCCCGTTCTTGAGCGCGTGAAGCAGGGTGAGCAGGTCGTTGGGTGTGGACCACAAACCGCCTGTTGGGTTCAGATTGCCGAAGGGGGCCACGAACCATGAGGCATCTTCAGGGCGGCGGGGTAGGACGGCGGTTCCGTCATCTGAGGGGACGGAGAAGGAGGAGTTTGCCATGCCAACGGGGTCGAGGATGAGCTTTTGGATCACGTCTTCGTAGGTGGTGTTGTGGGCTGCTGAGAGGGCTTTGCCAAGGAGGATGTACCCGATGTTGCTGTACATGGCGCGGGAGGAAGGGGAGTGTGGGGCGTAGACTGGGTTGTTGAACTCGTCGAGGATCTCTTGGGGCGTGCACATTCGGCCACCGGGGATGGGGTCGCAGCCTGGGAGGGTGTTGTTGAGTAGAGGGAGGCCGAGGGCGGTTGCGTTTTGGCCGAATGCTATGTCTGTTGTGTAGCCCTGGGGTAGTGTGTTAGTTCAGTGTGTGGGTGGGGGACTGAAGGAGTGGAGGACGTACGAAGCGACCGAGACCGGAAGTGTGATCGGTTAGGGACCTGATCGTTACATCTCCGTAGTATTCTTCGTTCAGACCAGGAATGAACTTTGTAATCGGATCATCCAAGCCGATCTTGTCTTTACTCAACTCCAGAGCAAGTGCCGTGATCAGCTTGGTTGCACTAGCTATGCGAAGCTTGGTGTCGAAGAGCGACTGATTGACTTCACGGCCAGGGGCTGTGTGCTCATATTGGAAGACCGTGGTGTTGCCGATAGAAGCCTGGACCGCGAACGAAGTGTCTTCCATGAAACTAAAGTTTTGGAATACAGCATCCGGTATGCTGAAGTTGGAGGTATGGGCAGCGATTGATGGTGGTGGGAGAATTGCACCTGGTGGTGGGCATAGGGAGAGCGCGGTAGGGGCTAGCAGGGAGAATACTCCAGCTACCGGAAGTAGCATCTTCGACATGGCTGGTATATGACGGGATCAGTGAAGAGACGATAGTCTTATTGTAACGGAGAACTCTTCGTGAGTATAGAGATAGATTGATGCATCTTGGAGGGTTAGTACTGCCCTTTCTTATACGGAAAGATGAGGCCTCCCAGAAAGACGGTGACACTAGTACATGCACCGCCTACTCCATAGCTTTGATGCTTCTTTTATCTGACTGACGACTCCAGCATGGATCTGCGCAACATTCAACGAGTCTTTACGCCCGGTGGAGATTGTTTTGTTCCTACGGAACGCCTCATGGGAGTTGCTTCATCAGATAGCCTAGCTGAATGACGTTGAAGTCATCTTGATCATAGTCGTAGACGTTTAACCCATGCCAGCACTGTAAGACAGATGCTGTACACAGCAGCTCGCCTATCTTGAAAGACGTACCTGGATGTCGAAAGATGGGGTAGGGCTGTTCACGGGGCTGCGCCTCACACCAACTTTGCTGCTTCTAGCGCCCGCGCTTTGTGGTCTGATTGGCTGACTCGTACATTCTGAGGCATGTTTAAACGAACAATTGGTACGAACGAATCAGAGAAATGACGACTGCTGAGCCGCAGCACATCGTAGTAGATCCTTCGGAGAGTTCCATCAGTGCTGAATGCCTGACGTGTGGGTAACTTGGTGCGAAAATAGATGATCCACGTTCCTCGTAGAATATGCTGGTCGCCCATCTTCTGTGGTGTAACTTTCAGATTACCATATTCGAATCTGACGTTAGCGGTGAATTTTCAGAAGCTTTCGCTTCAGGGCTCTTCGTGGGCATTGATGACTCGACTACTGAGAAGGCAACATCGGTCGTTGTATCCGCCAAATTGATCGACAAGTTGGTGGCGCGAACGGTGATCCCAGATGTTACACAACAACCTTGTCAGTATGGTTCGTGGATGATGAGTGCGGTTAAGGCGAAACGCCTTGAATTTGGGAGCTTTGTGCTGAAGATGATGAGGAGCATGTGCTCGGGAAATTCTGGTACCATTATCAATCCAGCCTCGTGATGCAAATCGATCGTGGAGCGATCAGGTATGCATCTCTGGTAGTTACAATCTGCAATTCCCGCTACAGAGAAGTGGTATCGTTGCTCAGCCCGAATCTATCTATGGCCCTGGGAATCATATGCTGATCGTAAGGAAAACCGACCAAAGGCCCATGAATAGCCACAAATGCAACGCCGTTGATATGCCTGACACCTTGAAGCCCAGAAAGAATAGAGAAGAGAGACTCATAAGAAAACGCCGTGTAAAAGTCGCAAGGAATAGCAACCGACAACAACATCATGCTGGTTTTAGCTAGAGCCCGTACTGCTGTGCATTGGCATGGATGGTGTATGCATCATGCCACTTCCACTTGGCATACTAGTAGGACCTTGTTGTTTCTTCTTTTCTTTCTTGGCCCAGCGCACTGTCGCAGTCAGCATATTATACCCCCTTGCTTCTGGAGTGAACGACTTACATCCGCATGCATTGCACAGCGTCTTCGGCCCATTTGGACCCTTCCGCCATTCGGGCGAATCCAATGTGCCGCAGTCTGTGCAAACGTATTCGTCGGCGATTTTGAGCTTCTTCTTCTTGTCAGAAGAATTTCGGCCATCGCGGTCTAGCGATATTTGTATGCCTGCATCGCCACGGATGAGGTTCGGGCTGGCGTCACCGGTACTTATACCCTGTGAGCGCTCGCCGTCCCTGTACCGGAGGCCGGTCAACATCTCGATTGTTTCTAGATGATTTGCGCCCTCATACCGCATCATCTTATCGTTGATACTATCGGGCTTGCTTGCGGCGAGGGCCTCGTCGAGGTTCTGGCGGGTGAGGGCGGTGTTGGAGATGACTGGCTTGGCTGGCGGCGGCATTTGCGCATAGGACGCGGCATCTGCCTGGCTCATGTTCTGCGTGACATGCGATTCGGAAGGAGTCACCGAGGTGGTGGCGCCTTCCGTCTTCTTTGCCCAGTCGTCCTGCTCGTCCTGCTCCTCCCGCTTGAGCTCGGCTATGCGCTTCATGAGGCGCTCGTTCTCTATCTTGTGTTCGAGGAAGGAGTCGAGGAGGGCGGCGTTCTTGGTCGGGTAGGGGCGCGCCATCATGAAGAAGCCGCGGCAGTTGATGGAGTTCGGCGGCGCAAACGAGTTCTGGTCGCTGCTGAGATGCGGGTGGCCGTGCGACTCGAAGATGATCCATGTGTCGTCGGTTTTGCGGAAGCGGTAGAAGAAGCGGAGAGGGTTTCCGGACGCGATCGACTCGTTGAACTCTTTCACGAAGATGCCAATGTCGTCGGGGTGGATGAACTCGTTGATGAAGCGGCCCATGACATGCGTAGGGTCCCAGCCCGTGAGCGCCTTGCACGAGGGGGAGACATAGAGGACCCTGCCGTCGGGAGTCAGTATGTGCAGCAGGTCGCGCAGCTCTTCCAGCACGCGCTGCGACCAGTTCCGCCGCTTGGTGAACTCGGTCAGGGTGCTGCCAGAGGGGTTCATGTTGGGGGCGCCGAAGCCCGTCGGTAGAGGCCCAGCGCCTGCGCCTGTCATCTGCATGTCGCCCATGGTGCTGCTGGCTGGTAGACTCGCGGCCTGCATCTGTGGATCCGCAAAGGAGAATCCGCCGTTCTGGCCGCCCTCGGCTCCGTCCAGCGACCCCATATCCAGATCCATCGACTGCATGCTATCGTCCATGGGCAGCCCGTTAAACTCCTGGGTCTGGGGGTGCATAGGCATTCCGGCCATCATCTACAATCATGAGACAGGTGTTCAGATTTACTAAGGATGCAGGGCCAGTCAGCGTACCTCAGCACCGCCATTTTGATATTGCGCCATGGCGTCTCAAATGCACGATGCTGCATATGATGTCGTGCAATAAAGCCGCGGATGATAGGCGCGGGCAGCTTCCCCGAGGACGTGATGGGATTTCTATGTTTTGTGCATGCCCATCCGCACTTTAGCATGACGACAACAGTGTTGCGCTTGTGAGCCCAACCCGCACGGCCCTCTTCTGCACGTGATACCGCGCCGCTAGTCAACGCGTCCAGGCTACCGCGCCTGTTTGACAGGCAGCAAACAACACGCTACTATATCAACCCAGCTGCGGGGTGCAATTCCACATCCGCCTGTTCAATTGCACGACAACGAATAGCTGATCCCCATCACCAGAAGCGCAGCCTCACAGACACCAGGGAAAGAGGCAGCGCCGGCAGCGCGAACCGCCATCATGTCGAAAGTCGATCGCCTAATGATCCAGGGCGTTCGCTCTTTCGGTCCAGAAAAAGGAGAGGTCATTCAGTTCACTGCACCCCTCACACTTATCGTCGGCTGGAACGGCTCTGGAAAGACAACCATTATCGAGTCTCTCAAGTATGCGACTACCGGCGAGCTTCCGTCGAGCAGCAAGACTGGAGGCGCTTTCATCCACGACCCATCGCTCCGAAATGAGAAGGATGGTGTGGCGCAGGTCAAGTTGTCCTTCCGCTCTACTTCTGGGGTACGCATGGTCGCCACCCGTAGTATGCAAATCACCGTCAAGAAGACCACGAGGAGCCAGAAGACCCTAGAAGGCTCATTGCTCATGATTAAAGACGGCGAAAAGCATTCCATCTCAACCCGTGTCGCCGAGCTTGATCAGATCATCCCTCAGTATCTCGGTGTATCCAAAGCCATCCTGGAAAACGTCATCTTCTGCCATCAAGAGGATAGTTTGTGGCCCCTGAGCGATGCGACTACCCTCAAAAAGAAGTTTGATGAGATTTTCGAAGCTTTGAAATACACCAAAGCCATCGACAACATCAAGAAGATCCGGAAGGACCGAAACGTCGAACTGGGCCAGCTCAAGATCATCGAGGCCAACGCCAAAGAGGACAAGACGCGCGCAGCGGACAGCGAGAGGCGGCAAGCTAAACTGTTTGACGAGATCGAGACGCTGCGAGAGGACTACAACGACGTCGATAAGAAATGGACTGAGGCGAAGCAGGAGTATGAAGACGCCTACAACCACCAGGCGCGCTTCGTACAGATCGTGGAACAGCTGAAGTCCAAGCGCCAGACGCTAGACATCAACAGGGAAAATGTTGCAGAGCTTCAAGACAGCATCAAGGAGCTGGCTGAGTCGGACGAGGAACTCCAAGACATGCTAGATCAGTACGAAGAGCGCGTCGCGACATACTCCACTCAGGCCAAAGAGTTTCGGAATCAATATCTTGAGCTCAAGAACAACCTCGAAGACAACAGGGACGCTCTTGGAGCGAAGCAAAGCGAGATCGGCAAATACGAGGCGCAGAAGGAGCAGTATGAGCGTCAGGTCCAACATCGCGAGAATTCTATCAAGGAAGCCGCTAAGCGACATGCTGTGCGAGGGTTTGATTACGACATCACCGAGAAGCAGGTGGAAGAGTTCCAGCAGATCCTTAATAAGATGTCTCGCGATCAGAACAAGGTTCTGGGTCGAACTCGGGAGGAGACACAACGCGACCTACGTGAAGCCCAGGATAATCTCAATCAGCTAAAAACACGCAAATCGGGACTTAGTCAGAGCAAGGACTCCGCCCGGAGTCAGATCACGAACAACGACAAACGCATCTCCGATCTCCAGAGGACCATGAACAACATCAAGGCAGATGAGGGCAGCGAAGCCATACTTCAAGACAAGAAGCGAGATGTCGAAAAGCAGCTCCAAAACGCAATCACCGCGGTGAACTCGGAACGCTACGACGAACGCATATCCGAAGCGTCCAACAACGTACGAACACTCGAAGACCAGAAGGAGCGCTTGACGAATGAGTTTGGTGATGCTTCAAAGCAGGCTCGGGAGTCTGCAGCTATCGACGTCAAGCGAGAGGAGCTACAAACCCAGCAGCACAGCTTAGCGACCATGAAGAAGGTTCACAATGAGCGCCTTTCACAGCTGGTGGACTCTGACTGGGACCCCGCCACTTTAGAGACGACTTTCCAGCAGGTGCTGGCAGAGAGGGCAGGCAAGGTCAAGGAGGCTGGGTCTCGCCGCGAGATTGCGCTGACCAAGTTGAACAAAGTCAACTTCCAGATGTCAAGCTTGGAGTCGCAGTTGAAGCAGAATCGTGCCGACCTCCAAAAGTACGAAAAGACCGTGAAAGAATCCATACAGAAGGACGACATCTCCGATTTTGACGAGACTCTGCAAGATCTGGAGTATGTGTACGAGCTAAAGTCTACAGACAAAGCCAAGTTCGAAGCACAGATGGACTACATGAGCAAATGCCTGCAATACGCCGAAAAACACAACATGTGCCGTCTCTGTAAGAGGACTCTTCACGATGACCACGATGAGGACTTTACAACTGCGGGCTTTGTCAGCGGACTCAAGAAAATTATTGCAAAGGCGAAGGAGGATGTGGAGGAAGACAATGTTGATGAAATCATGGCCGAGCTTGAGACTGCTCGCAAGGCCAAACCTAGCTATGAACTAGCGACTCGTCTGCGCGATACCGAACTTCCCGCACTCCAGGCCAACCTCACCAAGCTGACTGCTGAGCGCGACACTCTCAACAAACAGCTCGAAGACCAGGATGCTGTCATCTACGATCTGGAGGCTGCGAAGCAAGAAGTTGTGTCCTTGTCAAAGGAGGTACAGACCATTGTTACCTACTACAGCAGAGCGCAGGAGCTTGAGGCAGAAATCAAAGAGTTAGCACGGAAACAAAAGTCTGCAGGGCTCTCTCGGGGCATCGACGCAATTCAGATCGATCTGCAACGTGTGTCTGATGATAGCCGCAACGCTAGGACCATGCTCGAGCAGCTTACGGCTGCCAGGGACAAGTCACGCAACCAAATCACAACTCTTGAGCTGAGCGTACGTGACATCAACGCGGACCTGAGCAGCGCACAGTCAAAGCTGAAGGAGAAGCGGGATCTCGCCGATCGAGTAGAAGACCTCAAGCAGGAAAATAGCAAGCAACGTGAAGCCCTACGCAGCTTCGACCAGGACATCAGTAACATCGACCCCGAAATCGAGCAAGCGCAGTACAAGTACGACGACATCAACCGCCGTGGCAACGATCGCGTTCAACGCGCTCACGACGAAGCTGCTAGGCTATCCGACACCGTGCGCCAGCTCAACCAGGCGAACGAGGAAATCGATGCTTATATTAGTCGTGGTGGACCACAGCAGCTCGCTTGCACCCATCGAGAGATTGAGAATCTCCAAGGCGAGGTCGCACGTATCGAAACTGAAATGTCCGATCTGACTCGTAAGATCAAAAAGCTTGAAGACACGGTACGCGACACAGAAACGAACAAGCGCTCCATCAGTGAAAACTTGCGCTATCGGAAAGCCAAGCGCTCCCTCGACAGCCTAGAAGTTGAGATCCGAAAGCTAGAAGAGCTCGGTGCTGAGCGTGACAAGGCACATTACGAGCAGCAAGCCGACCACTGGGATCTTCGAGTACGAGATCTCAATCTCAGGAAGGCACAGCTAGAGCGCGACATGAAGAACAAGGATGATCAGCTTACGGATCTCATGACGGAGTATGAGAAGATCTACAAAAAGGCCGCGGAGCAATACCGGGAGGCGCATATCAAGGTTGAGACTACCAAAGCCGCCATCGATGACCTGGGGCGCTATGCTGGCGCTTTAGATAAAGCAATCATGAAATACCACACGCTGAAGATGGAGGAGATTAACACCATTCTCGCCGAGCTGTGGCGCAACGCGTACCAAGGTACGGACGTGGACGCTATCCGTATCGTATCCGATGGCGATGGCAAAGGTAACCGGACATACAACTACCGCGTTGTGATGGTAAAGCAAGACACCGAGATGGACATGCGAGGCCGCTGTTCTGCAGGACAAAAGGTCCTCGCTTCAATCGTCATCCGTCTCGCGCTCGCAGAATGTTTCGGCACAAACTGCGGTCTCATCGCGCTCGACGAACCCACTACAAATCTTGACCAGCAGAACATCAAGGGTCTCGCCGAGTCCTTGTCTCAAATCATCCAGAGCCGCAGGAAGCAAGCCAACTTCCAGCTGCTGGTCATCACCCACGACGAGCAGTTCCTCCGCGAGATGAACTGCGCGGACTACACGGACTCGTACTGGCGCGTCGGTAGAGACGTGAAGCAGGAGAGCTATATCGAGCGCCAGAACATTGCTGAGGTAACTGCACTCCAACCCCTCTTGATGCTCGCGCAGAGCAGGCACTCCCTCTTGAATAGGGTCGGCTTTGAAGATTGAACCGGACAGGTTCTAACATTTGACAGGTTTCTTGATCGAGGTGTCCGTTCTTGACGCGAACGATGATGGCGTTTGGAAGTACGGTATATATTCGCATACTAGGGTGTTCACGGTTTTCGTACATTCGCATCTATGGCTTGTAGGTGTTGATATGGGTATCATAGCGATGGGGTTGGCATGATGGGTGTTGTTTCAGGACCTTAGGTGGATTTATCAGGTATCATGTATCGGGGGCTATCATAAGTATGGAGGCCTCAATGAATTCACTTTCACTAATCTGCATCATACCAAGATGACACATCTCAAGGAAACTAACTCAGTCACAGTGCAATTCCGATGGCCCAGGAGCTCGTAACCATTATGCCATTTCACTTCACAGCGTAACATGCACATTGTCGCCACAGATTGATCTGTCCAACTTTTCCTTCCCTTCCAGATCCCGCGAACCCAATCGACCAACACTTCACACCCTCTTTCCAATGGCCGATTTCGTAGTCCCTCCTTCAACCCCAATCCCAAACCCCAGACCCCTTAACATCGAAAAGATGTCCGTCGAAACCCTCCTCTTCGACCTTCGCCACCACAAGTCCTTCGTCACGCCCCTCACCAATCTTTCAGACCCATACATCCAGTCCATGCAAACAGTCCAAACTTTCACCACCTCCCTCATCCAGTCTCTAGAAGCCAACAACACCGCAGTTGTTGAGCTGGCACAGGATAATACACTGCAAGACCTATACGCGGACTTTCCTTCTTTCTACGAGCAAGAGACGTTCAGGGAGTGGGTGAAAGACGGAACGCTGAAACATCCTCAGCGCCAGACAGAGGCACAGTGTCGATATCTGCGCATTGTAGAACTACAGGCACGCGAGGAACCAGCCATGGAGGTGGGAGAGATTGTAGCAAGCGCCATCACAGCAGGTCAAGAATGGCGCGAAACCGCATACACGCCAGCGAATCTAGTGCAAGACCCAGACGCCTTACACTTCTTCACATGCGCCTCTCGCCGTCTCGAAACAGCCCCTATCCCCCCTGACTCCTCCTCCACCTGTCCAATCTGCACATCCCCCTACGACACCACCACGCACATCCCCAAACAGCTACCTTGCACGCACATCTTCTGCACCCCCTGCCTGCACTCCTGGCTCCAAAAAAGCTCCCAAGGATACACCTGCCCCCTCTGCCGGTCCTGCATCCCCTGTGGCCGCAACCCCTGCACCTACCACCCTATCCCCCAGGAATCCTCCTTACCGATGCCGTTGCCCGAGATCATGGATGTGGTGTTAGTCGACACAATAGGTGGGATGGATGTCCGGGGTGCACAGCTACATGGGATGGCACCGGAGACGTATTGGGTGTTGAGGGAGGAGACGAGGAGGGATAGGGTGGGGTTGAAGGCGGCGAGGGAGGTGCTTGGCTCGGGTGTGCTTGGGGTGATGGGGGAGAATGAGGGGGTTAGGGTGTTTATGGAGGGGGTTGAGAGGGAGGCTGCGGAGAGGATTAGGGGGGATGTGCTACATGCGGTGGCGGGGGTGAGAAGGATAGAGGTGGAGTTGACGTGGTGAAAGACGGATGATATGATGTCCTTTGTTTACATTGGGGTTTGAGGAGATGGTTTATTGGAGGTTTACGAATAAGCCCCCGTCAACTAGCAACTGCGCGCCGTTCACATAGCTACTCAAATCACTGCCGAGGAAGATCGCGGGACCAGCAAGGTCACTCGGCACACCCGTTCTCCCCAGCGGTATCCTACCTTCCATGTACTTCCTCTTCTCCTCGTCTTCAAGATCCTTCTCGTTGAGCTGTGTCTTGATTGTGCCTGGTAGCAGCGCATTGCAGCGTATGCCATGTGTTCCGAGTGCGCACGCGGAGGACTGGATGAGGGATAGTACACCGGCTTTGGTGGGCGTGTAGTGGCCCTGGTATGCGCCGCCGACGAGGGCGCTGATGGAGGATATGCCGATTATGGAGCCGCCCGGAGGGGACTGGGTGGACATTTGCTTTGCGCCGGCTTGGATGGTGTGGAATGCGCCGGTGAGGTTGGTGGTGAGGGTGTTGTTCCAGAGGTCGGGTGTTATCCTGGCAGACGGGTGTTAGTTTTGCACTTGGACAGAGTTGTGGTCAGGGAAAAGGACGTACTCTAAGAACTCCTTGAACTCGCAGATGCCAGCGTTGCTTATCACAACGTCCAATCGTCCCCATCGTTGTACTACGGCATCTACCAACTTCTTGCCTGTCTCGGGGTTTCCTACGTCGCCGGGTACTTCTACTAGTCTCTTCTCGACTTCTTCTTTGCTGGTTTGTAGGTTCGAGGCGGCTTCCTCGACGAGGGTTTGGTACTGGGAGGTGGACTTGTCGTCGCCGAAGTGGTTCACGGCAACGTTTGCGCCGTGTTGGAGATATCCTAGGACGATGGCGCGGCCGATACCAGTGACGCCGCCGGTGATCATCATGGACTTGCCAAACAGCAGCTGAGGGGTTTGCGCCGCTGTCGGCGTGGTGGGCGTCCACAGACTGTTCTTGCGGGCGTGCGACATTGTGCTCGTGGGTATAGAGTGTGGGGTATGATAGATGGGCTATCGCGGTATATGAGGGGCTCAGGGTGGTATGCTTGGAGGTATTGAGTCTCTTGGAAGACGGCGAGGAATAATTTGTCCGATAGCACCGTCTACCCAAGAGAAAGCCATAATATACATGCCGCTATGCGCAATCTGGTTCGGTAGGTGCGATGTATGAGTGAGCCGTGTTCGGTCCACGTGTTCGGGGCATCATCAGCCGAGGCCGAAAGTCTTGGCGATTGCGTCGCGTTCGCCAATCAAACCAGTTGCGCAATTCTCGGAAGCCTCCACCAAATACTGCGATACGAGATCAAGGATGGTGTATTCTTGGGACGACAAAGAGGCGCTATGCTATCAACTCTATGTCGAGGAGCGCAGGAGTCTGGAAGAGGTCATGTCGTACTTTGAGATACGAGGGTTCACCCCAAGGTATGCAAGCGCTGCGCGGGAGAGTACATATGGGTCGCCGTACTCGCTCACCGTCATTTCGCATTCTAGTGTTTGACGAAGATATCCAGACCACTTAACGCTGACCCTGTTACTTCAGCAAGCGCGCCTTCCAGACCCAATTCAAGGTGCGTCACTATCGCACGACTTCCAGCCTCCACTCCGAATCCCCGACTGATCACGTACATAGCGATGGGAGTTCCCCTCGAAGCAGAATCCAGCGTACAAGAACACGGCCCTCGTCGCGCGACTCCAGCAACTATGGGAACAGAACTATACGCAGAAGGACATGGTGGACACGCTACAGGCTGAGGGCTTTCAGATCAACGACCGCGAACTGCTGCGCTTGCGCCTGAGGCTCAAGCTCTTGCTTCGAGAAAGCGTTTCCAGGTCGAAGAAGACAAAGGCTGATGGAGGGAGGATACAAAAGAAGCCGAAGAAGAAGCCTACCAAGGTTGTGCCTGGGAGAGGTCTGATCAACCAGCTTGGTAACGCGATATTGGCAGAGGAATCTATGAGCGACGATGGAAGCGAAGAAGAGATCGCGACTACTCAGGAAGAAGGAGAGGAGGTTGGGACATCTGTGGAAGAGGCGCGACCCATACTCCCCGAACCCGACATCACAGGCTTGAGCGAGGAGGAAGTGCTACGCAAGCAACTGCGCCAACAACAGCTTCAGACCGAGAGTGACGAGAAATGGCGGACACGCAAGCGAAGACGTCGAACACGCGGCTGGGCCGGACTACCAGCCGATGCTCCTGGCGAACCTCCTCGATTCCCTTCCGAAACCACCATCGACGAAGCCAAAGCATACCTCGGTCTGGATAACGATATGTACCGCCAAGTTCGAGAGAGCTTTCTCCAGATCTGCAAGGAACAGGAAGTCACAAAGAAGACCATTGCCGGTCCGGAGAAGTGGGCGCAGATTGTACAACAACTCATTCGAGACGATGTACATTTGGCCCAAGTCTTCCAACAAGAGCCAGAGGTGCTACAGAATGTCGACGCGCTCTTCCGTCCGAAAGGTCAGAGAGCGCTGTCACTTGATGTTATCTGCCTGGACGTTACAAAGCGCTTACGAACGATGGATTCACGCATGACCCTCGCCGACGCAAAGAACCTCCTTGGTCTCAACCCCGAACAGACGCGACACGTCCGGAGCGCCTTTGCTAACAAGCTGAAAGCAGCTCAATTTTCGAACAAGCATGAAGCTGGTGAGGAACGCTGGACGGGTTTGAAGCAAGCGTGGGTCAGCGAGTCCGAGTTCCTGGTGAAGGCGCTCGCACAAGGGGAAGATGATCCAGAATGCGCAAGGAAGTTACGAGCTCTCGAAGTGTTGGCCCGAGACGTGATGAAGAGGCAACAGCAGGAAAAGACCTCCAAAGACCCCAGCAAGAAAAAACAAGTTCATCAAGGACCGGGCCCGGGACCTGCACCGCCTGTCGTCGCTGCACACCCGACGAGTATGGGAAACAAGGGGAGACAACACAGTAGTGGTGGCCGGAAGACAACGACACAGACTACATATACGGCCGCACCATCTCTATCCACAGCTTTAGATCTCCAAATCGACCCATCTCTCCTCCTAGCCGCCAGCGACGCCGCAGTCCTACCCATCCCCTCCTATCCCCCTCAACACCACTACCAGTCCACCCACTACCAACCAGCATCCCAGCACCAGCACCAGCACAACCATCACCACCCCAACCCACACACCCCCTACCAACAACCCTACTACCCCGCCACCCCAACATCTCCCATCCCTACGCCCCTCCCCGTCTACTTCCGCCTCCACGCCCACTCCTCAACCCCCTACCCCACGCGCTCCGTCTGGCTCTCCATCATGCAAACCCCCTCCGTCAACGCACTCCGCGACTTGGCGATGCGCGAACACCCGGGTACTGTTGTGCATAAACTGCAGGGGTTGGTTGTGCATAGAGGGGGGAGGGCGGACAGTGAGGTTGTGGTTGAGGTTACGGATGATGAGGAGTTGGGTGCGTATTTGGGGCTTGTTAGGAGGAAGGGAGGGGAGGAAGGGGCGGGTGCTCAGGGAAAGGCGGCGTTTTTAGTGCTGTTGGGGATGGGTGGGGAGGGGGGAGGGGGGTTTGCGTAGGGGGGTGGATGGGGAGGAAGGTTTTGTGAGGTAGATGTTAATTGGCATCTATACCGCGTGGCTCTTGTTCCAATCGTGTATCTTATGCCTTTGGGCTTCTCCAATAACATTGAATTGATTTGTGGGTGTACGTATATAAGTAATATCAGCATACGCTAGACTGACAAGATTGGAATCTTTCTCGGTATATTTTACTGCTGCACCGCACTACTATCGTGCTATGACGCGATTGCGTCCATCGACTTTACAATATGCTCAACAAACACTGTAACTTCTGCCGCGTAGGTCAAGGGGCAGTGGAAGAAGGGTACTATCTCCTCTCGGACCCAAAGAGCGTGTTTCCAAGATTGTACATGTAGAGCTAAGACGGGGTTCAGAAAGTTGAGAGCTTCGAAATGTTGGCTTTGACTTCTTTGGTAGGGTTCTGGTGTCGCTCTAGGTAAGTACGTAGTCCTTTCTATGGCTATCTCCTCTTACCTCACCTTTCGGGCCGAAGGTACAAGAGACGAAGACGATAGGTTAGTAGACTGGCCTCTCGTGCAATCATGGGGAAGTTAGATCTGGATCGAGGGACTCCCACCCAGGCTTCATCTTCATCGTAAATGCTTTTTCGGTTAACGCGTCCATCTCGTCTCCGCCTTGCTCCACTCATTCCATTCGTTATCCAGACAAGCAACAGCGAGTGGTACGGAGAACTTGACCGCGATATCAGCAACGGGTATGGTACCCATCCGCTCATGTTGGAGTCTTGGTCGTCCTCACTTGCCAGGGTCCATGGGATTCTATCGCTTCGGATAGCTCCGAAAAAGCAAACATAATCCCGTGCAGCAGTGCCAGCTGACGGG